GTTAAAGCACTGCAAGAAGCAATTTTTCCGGAGGCGCTGAAGTTGTCCAAGTTGTTCTATGATATTCAGGACAAGGCTTGAGGTACCTTTGCTGAGGGCCTGTAAGGCAGACCTGCAGTCGCTGAAGATGGTGATACCACTAAGCTGCTCCGAAGGTTCAAGATTGATGTACGTTTCGATAGCCGTAGAAATGGCTATCAATTCTGCTGTAAAATTAGATGCGATTTTTCCAGCACCAGTTGCGAATTCTCGTCTTTGATCATCAGGAAGGAGCAGTACCACTCCCGCACCTCCGTTGGTGAAGGTGGAGTCAGAAGATCCATCAGTAAAAGCCCTGACATGATTGAGGCCAGATAGAGAGTCGATAGTTTTCATCCCAATTTCCTTGAGTTTATTCGCTTGATCTTTTTTCGAGCAGGGCTCGATGAGTTCTAGACAGATTGTCGTATTCTCTGGAACAACTCCAATAGCGAGAGTTTCGTTTCTGAAAAGTAAGTCCTCGGGTTTAAGGTGAATTTTTTCTCTGATGGCCCTGTCGAACAGAAGGGGAGATGACCTTTTGAGTCTAGATTTTTTATTCCAGTTTATAATAGTACGATGTGAAATGTGCCCCTCGTCAAGATTATGGGCGTTATTTGTAAATATAACAGTTAACATTTGTCTCCTTTCTTCCAGAGGGACCAAACCGCATTCCTCTTGAATTCTTAAGTTGTTTGTTGATGAGACAGCACCAGACATTATTTTTGCAGCTTTCGCTTGTACTTTATCGAGTCTCTCTCTTGAAGGAGAGGAGGAGTGTGACCATACAGGTGTGGCATATTCCATTATTGGTCTTTAAGAGTTGTGTAAGTAGTTTTCAGTGTTTTTGGTGCAGCACCCCATTTTGTGCCACAAAGCCTCCTAAGGATGTTGAGCTTTTTTAGTGCTCTATTAGAACACTCTTGAATGTGGTGGTGAATGTGGCGGCTATTATAAATTCCATTTATTGTAATAAAAAAATTTTTAATAACTATTTAGCATTTTTTATTATTCATTAAAAAAAAAATTGTGGGGAATACAAATTTTTATGCATGCAATTCATTTTACACTGTTTATTTTTAAATGACAAAATACAAAATTTGTACGAAATCAATCGCATAGTTCTTTAGAAATAAAGTCTTAAAAATACAGCTACAATCGAACTTTTATAGCTCTGAGGATAAACGTTGTTCAAAATTGTAATTTAAAAACGGTGTAAAAAATTTTATACCAAAAAATTCTAAATTTTATCGACCCCAACAAAATAAATAAAATAAACAACTAAAATAGCAAGAAAAAGCAGTGCACAGAATTGTTCAACCAACCAACTTTAAAATAATTTTTAAAAAAAATTGCAAGGTAAGCAAAAAATTATAGATATAAGCACATTTTACAATACATAAAAAAATTTCTACTTATTAAAAAAAAATTACAAAATAAAAAATAAAAGGGCATTTGTCAAAAAAAAACCGGCGAAATATGCCTTTTCTCTGCGCACCTTCCCATTACACACTACCTTTCTCTTCTGGCTTTTGATGTAAGCTTAGATCACTAGTGACACTCATCTATGTGGCCTAATAAGTTTTATTAGATAACTCCGAATTTTAAATTTTGGCAACGTATTCGAAAATTGATTCGAATTAATGTAGAATTCAATGTAACCAGGACACAATATGTTTCTAAGAAAGTAAAGCCCCGAACAAACGGAATCGAAGAAGTATTTTTCATACATGTAAAATTTTTAAAACATCGAATCTATTAACATTTTCCCCCCCTTCATATTTACTGTTTCAAACAAGACCGTGAATAAAATACAAAATCAAAATCTCTACGTTTTCATGCAAGCAGGACACAGAAAAAGTTGGTGAGAAAAAGCATTGAGTAATCAAATTACTATTTTTTAATTAAATCGGTTAGTCTAAACTTGAAAAAAAACTTTTTTTCACCAATTTTAATATTTTAATTTATTTATTTTTTTCATTTCAGAAGAAGCCATGACTATGCATTAAAATTTTACAAATATGCATTCTTATAAAAGGATTGATCGAATTAAAATTTCTTAAAAATATTTTACCTTGCATTTTGCAAAGAGAAGTTTAAAGCCTCCAAATCCATTTTCGTTGACTTTAACAAGAATAAAAGCATTTTGAAAAATCTATATTAGATATACCTCATACTTTTATAGATATACTCAATATATTCTATATCAATCAATTCTATATAGATATATTCAATATAGATATACCTCAACTTTTTTAAACATAGCTTTAATATATATAGCATTAACTATTCAAAAATACAATATGCATAGTTTGAATAAATGATTTTGAGTTGCAATGAAAATTTAAACTAAAATTTTTCGAAAAAAAAAATCTAAAGAAGCTCTAAGGATAGTATGCTATTTTTTTTAAAGCTATAATAAAAAAGATAATTTAATTTTCCTTTTATTTGTAAAATGTTTCGCTATAGAATGATAACTCCACGAATAAAAGTTAATCAAGAAGAAAAAAGGAAAAAAATTAAGGATAGAAAGAGCTCACTGTTAGATACAAAGAGTGATACGAGCAAATTCAAAAGAAAATTTATTTTACTTTCACTAATAAGATAGTAGCCTCAACTCCGTCATTAGAAACAGCTCATCAATTAGTGATTCATACACACACAACAGAGCTTATCAATGAGTCCATTCAAATGGAACAAATAAGTTCGGCTATTAGAGCGTCAAATTAAAGGTACTTACTGGCGACTTCCTTCAACAATTCCATCACATGTGGATGTTCGTTTTTCTCCGCCAAGTCCATCGCAGTTAATCCCGTACTATCTTTAGCAAGTATGTCAGCATCATATTCTAAAAGCAACTTACAAATGTCGCGATGACCATTTTCAGCTGCTATATGCAACGCTGTCTGAAATAGAAAAAAATTTTAATTTTAATTGTAAAACGATTAGATCATAATTATTTTGTCAAAATTACTGATTATATATAAAAAGGAAATATTTATGGCAAAAAAAGTATAATGTGTTGTTTTCGAATATTAGAATTAAAAAATAAATAACTCTGCATTTACAATAGGTTTCAAAGCTAACTCTCAGAAATAATACTCTCACTTAGGACAATTCAGCAAACCTTAAGCTGCATTTCGTTAATTTTGAGATCCCTTTCGTCTCAAAATCATGTGATTTGTGACAAAACTTTAACTCTCAAATGTGACGAAAATGTTTACTCTATTCGGAATCTCATCGCAGTCCATTATGGGAGAGCGTTAACTATGAGAGTGTGACGAAATATTTCTTTACTTTTGACGAAATTCATTTCTTCGAAGAAGCGAGAATAGTTATTTCGTTACTTTGACGAAATGTTCGTTCGAATCATAAACCAGGAAACGGTTTCGTCACTTTTCGTGAACTTTGAGGTTAAGTGGTATGAAGCAAAAAATTGCTAAGGCCGAGAGTTCGTGGTTCGAATCACAGGGACAGCCAATTTTTAAAAATTATACTTAAGAAAAATACATTTTTCTAAAACTTATTTTACAATACTGTAAAGAGAATAAAATATTCCTTTACTGATTTTATTTATTATTTCTAATGCTTTCACATGAATGAACTAATCCTTTGAAATAATTAGACGTTCGTGGAATAACAAAGAATAACATATAAACTTTGTCGATGTTGTTCGAGAATTAGCTTTGCTTAAAAAAAAAATAATTATAACTGCAAATAAAATTTGTTTTTTTATCATTGTGTCACAAACTATTAACATTAAACTAAACTACACATTTCAAAAATTCTACCTGAACGTTGCAGTCACACTTACATAAATGATTGATAAGGACAACAAAATCAGAACACAGCATTTTAAACAATGCTCCGAAAATAAAATGAACAAAAGGAAAAAAAGTCCAATCGTTTAAAAGAAAACAACTGAGGTCCTCAGAAAAAAAAAAAACAGCAAATCCTAATCAACCTCGAATTTCATAATGAATGTATCACAAGACAAAAAAATGAATAAATAAATAATAAAATATAAATAATAATAATAATAATTACGTTTAATTTTGGATAAATTTCGTAAAAAGAATATGAATATTTTGAGCATCTCGCTTTATTTAAAACTTCAACATATGAAATGTAGAAGGTAGGAAAATATTGTCATACCTTTATCTCACATAAGTACAGACACTCATCCGACATTTATCTCAAAATTTGAGTACCGTTTCTAAACAGTTATTATATCAAAATTTGAGTACCGTTTTTATACCGTTATTATCTCAAAATTCGAGTACCGTGCCTCCATCAACCCCTTCGTTTGCAAAGCAGTAAAAAATAGTATTGGGTAAAATGCAAGTATTTATTTTTGAAACTAAGAGGTAAAATTTACATTTCTGAAAACAAATTTTTCATTAAAGTGAGCAAAATAGTTCCTTCGGTTGCATTCAGAATTAAATCATTATCTATTTGCAAAGCATTATCTATATTGCGCAATGGCAACGTATGGCCCATAATTCACGCCATGAGTCTGACTCATATGACATTCATATTTCGCCCATATTTCACATCACGTGTGACTCGTTTTTGTAGACAGAGGAAATTAATTAAATGAAAACAACATTAGATGGTTGAATAAATGTCTAATGAAATGTTTTAATAACTTTAAATACCTTGTACTGTTCTTTAACTCCACAAGCTATGTTTGGGTCAGCTAAAAAAAAAATTTAAAATAAAATATTACTAATATGAAAAATAAATAATACATTGATAATTAAAAAAAAGTTATCTATTTTATTTAATGAAAAAAAAAACATAATGCAACTATTTTAGAAATATATATGTATATAAAAATTGAAAAAAATACAATAAAAAATTAGATAATTGTCTCAAAAATCAAATATTTCTTAAAAAAGTCCTCCCACACAAAATAATCTTAATTATTAATATATTTTCCTTCCATGAATCCGAAGAATCTTTAAAATTGATTTGAATAGATAGCTGAAATAATCTTGATTATCAAAATCTATGCTAAAACACTTGTCATGACATTATTAGTTAAATAACAATTACACACTATTAAATAATAATTACACCAAGTATTATCATTAACATCATATAATTAATGCTAAAAAATGTTTTACATACATTGTATAAAATTTAAAGTATACAAAGTATAAAATTTAAAGTAAAGAAAGAAATTTTAAAAGCAATCTTTTTTTAAAAGTGTATTATATAACTTATTCATTATCAAGGAATACGAATAAAAAACAACTTTGTTACTAACATCATAATAGCAAAAACAACATATGCCGTTCTAAGAACAGAAATTCGGTTTTGATATCATATATGTTTAATTTAGTGAAAACAGTTGATTTTTAAAATCAGCATGAAATTAATTTTGAATGATTTATGAACAATGAAAATAAAAAATTATTGAGTAAAAAAAAAAAAGCATCTAGAAAATCTTAGAGAAGAATTAGTCAGAAAACGTAAAAGTTAATACAAAACTGAAATATTTATTCACACAGATGTAAAATATAATCATAAATCGAGCGGGAAATTAAAAAAAGAATAATACTACTCTAATTATATTTTTGAAACATAATAACTTTTCTAATTAAAAAATTCAATTAATCTATTTAAACTATCACAATTTAGTACCTTTATTGTTTATTATAATCATTAATTAAAACTTTAAAATCGTAGTTTGTTCAATTTGAGTCGTTACGCTATTTTAATTACGTTATGTACATTACCTTAGAAACATAATCAATTTAAACTATAAAAAATTATGACCTTTATTTCCTTGTTTCAGTTAATAAAAATTTTGAAATGATGTTCCATTTAATTTGAACCATTACGCTTATGTTACGTACGAAATGTTAGAAACATAATCAATTTTCCAATTAACCATTCCATTAGTCGATTTAAACTATAAAAATAAGTAACTTTATTTAATTGTTTGTTATATTGTCCCACTTAATTAAAATTTTAAAATGATACTTCGTTTAATTTGAACCGTTACATTATTTTGGTTATGTTACGTATTTTACCTTAGAAACATAATAGATTTAAAGTATAAACCTTCGTTAACTTTATTTTATTGTTTGTTATTGTCAAAGTTGATAAAATTTTTAAAATGTTAACCATTTAATTTGAATCGTTACGTTGCGCTACGTACGTTGCGCTACGTCAGAAACATTATTCCTTTTGTAATTAACTATTCAAATTAAAATAATCGATTCTAGCTATAAAAATTAAATAACATTATTTTATTGTTTGTTCCATTGTCACAGTTAATTAAAATTTTTTAAGTTGCAAAACAGTTATAAGCTAGAAAAAAATTACAAATGCAAAGGATACACAATTTATTGCGAATGTTTATATAATCATACACAGGTAGGATGTAAGTTTTTTTTTTCTTTCGCGTGTAACAATAGAATATTGTTATTCTACTTTCTCGCATCCTTTCACTCATACACTATTCATCCATTCATTCTTCTTTTTTTTTAAAAGAAAAAAAAACTGTACCTGTTTTACATTTGAGATCCGTTAAAGACAAATTTTAAATTAGTATTTGAGAATGCTAAGGTAATATAATATAGGAAATTCTATTGACATCAATGGCAACGGACCATCAAGTTCTAGAGCAAATATCGTTTTCAACTAGGATGTTAAAATTGTATTCTACGTTATGTAGTTATGCTAGTTATTCGTAGAATTTAGAAAGCCGTGCATAAATCCAACATCAGATTTTTCGATTCACATTAATATTAAAATCAGTTATCAAAATCATTCAGTTATGCTAGTTATCTGCAAAATTTGAGCAATGTCGGGCTTATGAATTCATGTTTGGCAGAAAAATCTTATTCTCTATATTATTCAGGTTCGTTGGATATCGGCGAAATTTAAAAAGCTTTGAATAAATCAAATATCGGATTTTCCACATTGATATTAAAATCGTTATCATTATTGCTCAGCAGTACTAATTATTCGGAAAATTCAAAAACTCTTGTAAAAATTCAATAATGAGATTTATTGTTTAACACACATTTTCACATTGAAATTAAAATAATAATCACAGTTATTAGGCTCCAATAGTTGTTCGCAGAATTTAAAAACTTAAGAACAAATCCAATATCGGATTTTTAGGTTCACATTTTCCCCATTGATTATCCCTAAGAATTTTACCTTGGCTCCAGTTTGGCTCAAAATTGGCTTAATATAGGTCCTATAAGAATATGCACCGATGTACCAATAATGGGTTGTCAAAATTTAAGATTAATCTTAGAATGGCTTTTAATATTGGGCAATACAATTCTATACAGGACCGATATTGGTTGAAAAATGGCTGTAAAATATCGAGTGAAATAGACAATTCTAAATAAGGCCGATATTGGCTGAATAATCGATATAAAATATTAGGTTAATCTAAAAGTTCTACATAGGGCCAATATCGGAAACATCGGCATTTTTTACCCTTATTGGGTCAAGATTAATGAATATTGGTCTAAGCAATTTTGCTGCAAGGAATTCTACATTTATAAGTTAGACATCCGTAAAATTTAAAAAATTTTCAACAAATCAAATATCGGATTTCCTTTTAATATATTTACATTTATATTAGAATCGTATTATATGTCATTCAGATAAATCTCTCTGCAAAATTTTAAAAACTTTTGCTTCGGACTAACTTTTAGGAAATATTTATATAAGGTGGGAACAAGTTAACAGCTACCGATAAAAGTGATTGATTTGTTCCTCATAAACACAAAGCAATATTGAAAGAAAATGTTTACTAAAAATTCATAAGATTGTTGCAAAATATGTAAAGATATTTTCGTTTTGTCATCATTATTTCAAATAAGGTACTTCCATTTTCGGAAAATGTAAAAGTTCGTGTAAAAATTTGATTTTAGCTGCTTTTCTCCAGACCATTCAAATTTGTAAGACAAAAATATTTTATTTAGTTTAAAGAGCAAGTTAGACATATGCAACGATTCGAGAATATAATTAGTCATAACTTAGTGTTCTCTCTGCACATAAAAGGAAAAAAAAAAATCGTAAGAATCGCATCTGTTTTTGGTGTTTAACTTAACGTTGCATTTTGCTTTGTTGCTCATAAGAACTTGAAATTACTAAGGTGAGTAGAACAGTGTACAGGGATTACGATGAAATAAAAAAAATTTTACAATTTGAGAATTATTACCAGTTTAACTTGATGGGAAAATGACAAAACGAACGGCTCTACAATCAGCAGAAATAGATAAACGAACTTTATAAGTGTGTGCAAAATTTTTTCAAGTTCTCGAGATAATGGAAATAAGCAAAAGTGAAATCAATATTAAGGGGTTCAATTTTTGGACCGCTCTTCTGGCCAAACTATTGGGACTATATTTCCCAGATTTCCGGAATCTGAATCCATCATAAATATGGTACTTTATTCAGAGAAAGTAAGGTTTTTTTTTCTGATTTCGTAACTCAAAATATCGTCTGCACTAATTAATTAGCATATTTGAGATCCACCCCACTCCCCGGAATCTTTAAGTCCTAAAACGTGAAGATCCGATACTTAGATCAAAAATTATTCAGGGTGTTCCATTTTTTTTTTTAGGTACTGTACATTTTAAAACCAGAATGTTCAATGTTTTAGTGGGAAATTTTACTAGAAATACATTGATGAATTTGAAGCAGTTACGCGGGTTGGCTAACGGAAAGTCATAGTTGAACATCAAAACGTGAACAAAATGAATTTTTACATTTGATAATCCTTAATTGTTATAGAAAATGAGAAAAGGTCACGGGGGCTCAGGGGGTAGAGCATACATCCCCTAATGAGGTAACCCAGGTTTGAATACCAGCGGAGGCTGCTTTATACGAATTCTGCTTTCGACTCGCCCTGACCACAGTCCTAACGTATAATATCCTCACTGATAGACGGATCATGGGTTAGAATCCCCTTCCCATAGGGATAACAAAGGGTGGTTATTATGGTTTCATTCACCATGCGACGCAAATGCGGGTTCATTCCATCAAAAAGTCCTCTACAAAGACAAGTTTGTCCCAATGTTTGATTCAGGAGTTCCCTTGTCTTCTGGATCGGGTTCAACAATACAAGGCAACGGAATTGAACATTAGCAGTCGTAAACGAAGAATTGGATCGGTTGTTCAACGACGGTTATAAAATATCCTTTCCCTCAAGTTACATTGTTGCGAGGTCATCATCGTCATCATAGTTAGCCAGACAGCCCAACATGAGCCATTGCCTTCCTCTGAAGATTTCTACATGACGAATTCCGATTTATCTTTGCGAGTTAAGTAAAGGATAATTGAAAAAAAAGTTTAAAAAATTCTCACTAAGACCATTAAGATATTTCTAACGAAACAATAGAATTCACAACGAATTTGCAAGAATATAAAACATTTTAAATTAAACAAACAAAATAACGACACTCATTATGAATTTCTGGAAAATTTAAGCAACTTTTCTTTTTTAAATATTTATTCTTGGTAACACGAAATTCTTAGACATAGTGGAATTTCCTTATCCGATTTCTGCAAATTTTCCTTCAACCTGATGAGCGATATTGGATAAATTCTCTAAGAGATGTGGAATTCTTTTTTATTCCAATCATCGTAATCATCAATTTTCGATGAAATCTTTTCACAAATCCTACTTTTATCGTGTACAAGCTTCATGTTATCGAGACA